AGATCTAGCAGTTTTTAGAGCTTTTCTATAAGTAGAAGTACTTTCCCGCCATGCAATACGAAATAGCTCTAGTTTTGTTTTCTTCCAACTGTGCTCCATTTTCTGGGCTGCTCTCTTTAAGGCGCAAAGAGATTGGATCACAAAACAGGTAGGCTGTATGCAGGGGTTAAATTGGGATTTGATGTGTGGGGGGGGCTCTATGGTGTCAGGCTTTTATATATATATATATATATATATATAGCATATATGATTTATTTTGAAGCAATATTCTTCAGTTTTCTATCAGCTGTGACATATAAATCTGCATGTTTTTTTTTTAGATTTAATCCAAGGCCATTTTTTACCTTTATAGAGGGCATTTTCCCCCTAACCTCATTAATACTTCATCTTTCATTTCAGATGCTTACATTTAATCTATAAATTCAATTATAATAACGTGATTATTGTTATCTGTACGTTAAGGTTAGAAAATTAAATTAAATCATTTACACTGAAAAAATACAACTGCATTGAATAATGTTATGAGATTGTTTTAAATATTTTTTGGAATATACAAACAAGAAATGATGCTGGAAATGATACTTTTAAACTAAATTAAAATGCCAGTAGGTGCCAGTAGTGAGCGTTTGAGTGAGTCACTGAGTTGTTCATTCAAACGATTCGTTCAAACTGCAGATTCAACAGATGTTTATGCATGGGCTAATGAAACTTTGACTCAAACGATTCGTTCAGAACACGGAATCATCGACTAGTTGCTGGGAGTTGCGCTGTGTTTCCGCCTAAAATGTAGGTGACCTAATATTATTGTATTTGCTTATTGAACAGTTTATTGAACTATTAAACAGTCGTAATGGTGAAAACGTTGTGTGATGTTGCCTAACTAACTGTATTTTAAATATAAAAACTTTTCATTTTGAATTTTTACCTCAGCATGCTTACTTGTCTGGGTTAATGAAGCGTTAATGTCCAGCCCTGGGGTCTATGTGCCGGGGCTCATCCCCGAACGGCCCCGGCCCAATTTAAACCCTATATGTAGCCTGTACCAAATACAGCACGGATAGCGGAACGTATCAAAAGAATAGAGACTTCAAAAGTAATCTTTCCTTCATCTCTCTTTTCTGAATGCATTCTATTTTATTTTTAGGGTTCTTAGTGAAAGGTCCTTCTGGTCCTCTGGTTGTTCCTCTGGGGTCTTCGGTGGTTTTACCTTGTTATGTTGATGAACCCTTACCTTTGAAAGGACTGAAGGTGATTTGGGTACGAACCGATGCCAATACTTTAGTGCATGTGTTCCAAGATTATGAGAGTCGACCAGAAGCCCAGTATCAGGATTATCATGATAGAGCTCATTTCTTCACTGATAAAATTAAACATGGAAACTTCTCCCTCCGTCTGGAAAATGTGAGAGCTGAAGATAAGGGTTTCTACAGATGTAAGGTTTACACCGAGCAGGAATCTGATGAAACTCTGGTTCAAATTAAGTCAGTTGGTGAGTGAAAATCTTTTGAGTTCTGGCCAACGTTTATAAATGAATTTCACTTTATTGTATTTTGATATTTTGTGTATTCTTCCAGAGCATCTGATGGTATCAGGGTCCAATCATCCCGTATCTGCGTATGTGGGTGAGGACGTCACTCTGAACTGCTCTGCAGACTCTCATATCCCACCTGAGGAGATTGATGAAGTTTCGTGGAGGAAAACAGACAAAAATGAAATCATCCAGGTTCTGGTCTTTGAAAAGAATCAAATAATTCCAGCAGATGAGCGATACAGACACAGAGTTGATTTCTTCACTGCTGAAATCCCCAAAGGAAACTTCTCTCTCAGACTGAAGAGTGTCAGAACTGAGGATAAAGGAGTTTACATGTGTCAAGTGTTTGCTGGAAATTTTTCAGCCAACACAACTGCAGTACTGGAGCAACTGGGTGAGCAAAAAAAAAAAAAAAGCATACAATGATATATGAGACAAACAAATTTAGTTAAAGGGGTCATATGATGCTGCTAAAAAGAACAGTATTTTGTGTATTTGGTGTAATGAAATGTGTTTATGCGGTTTAAGGTTAAAAAAACACATTTTTTTCCACATACTGTACATTATTGTTTCTCCTCTATGCCCCGCCTTAGAAAGGAAAAATTTAAATAGCATCATATGACCCCTTTAAATGAAGATGTCATTTGCATGCGCAATGTTATTTGAATCAATTTTTTTTTCTGAAGAATGAAAAGCACAAATAGTGATGAATGTCCAAATATTTAATGCCATGAATGAATATTTACTGACTAACCCACTGTTTTTTAGAGGGTGATCAAAATGACAATTCGACCTTAGAACTTTTAGAAACTTTTTTAAAAGTTTAGAACGATTTTATACAGAGATTTGTAGGTATCTTTGTTGCATTGTATGCCACTGGTGACTTTACATGTTCTTTTTCTAAAGTTTGTATGCCTGTAACTCAAGAGGCAATAAAGATGTCTTAATGTCCTTTTCGATTCTGGTTCTTAACCAACTTTTCTTTTGGTACACTTTCTCTGAATGTACAATGCTCATGAATATTTAATGAGACAAGTACTGCAGGCACTTAATGATTGGTTGGCTGTTGCTTAAGTCAGCATAGCATTTTAGCACCACACTGTTCACACTGTATAACCACAAAATTGTGTTGATACTTCAGTTTTAATGTTAAGCTTTCCTACATGCATTGTTATTCACTAATACTATACAGAGAAAGTTGTGGAATGATTTTCCTTTAATAAGTGAAAGCAATGTAATGTTTGTGTGTCACAGGTTTCTCTGTTTTACACATAATTGTGTTGATTCTCTGTATTGCTGCATCTGGATCTGCACTGCTGCTGTCAGTTCTGTGGTATCTACAACACAGATCATCAAACACAAGTATGTTTGCACAGAAACTGTTCTTATTTGTTTATATGTTAGTAGGTTAATGACTTTAAACAAGTGGACATTTTCAGTCCAAACTATATATGCTAAATAATTATTTCAATAACATTTCTGACTGAAATTCATTTCTCTCTAGCTAAAGCCCTGTTTCTTCAGATGTCTGTAGTCACTGTACCAAACCTTGTTATGTTTTTTGCCTTTTTGTTCTGGGGTGTTATTGAAGGTGAGTATCTCGGCTGTAATAATTATGTATCTAGCATTATAACAATTGAAGAAACTATCAGTGTTTGGTTGTATCAATTTAGCTTTATTTTAAATTATAAAATGGATTAATTCATAGTTTTGTAGAACAAAAATCAATTTATTCCTTGGGATGTCATCCCTGTTATTAAAATCGCTGATTGTTTTCCCCCCAAGGATTTCTGAGTGAGACGGTTGCCTGCTGCGCTCATTATTTTCTGAGGCCTCTTCTTCTCTTATGGGCAGCCCCACATTCAGAACATTTCCCAGGTTTGTTCACTTTGATGAACATAATTTGTTTTAATCACAGGAATAAATGACATCTATCATATATTCACATAGAAAATGCTTATTTTAAATTGTAATATTTCACAATATTACTGTTTTTACTGTATTTTTGATCAAGTAAATGCAGCCTTGGTGAGCAATAACAGACTTTTTTCAAAACAAACCAAAAAAAAAAAAATCTTAATTTTACTTTTGAAAGGATCATTTCCATTTCAAGTGTTGTTGTTTATTTGATGGTTTTAATTGCATTATACGTTTTGTAGTTGTTTCGAGTTGTACTTGATTACAAGCTTTTCTGTTTTACAGGCAGTCGTGAAACAGTTGTGCACTGCATCGTTCATCTACAATATTCCCTCTTTACAAATGTTGTTTATTCAGGTAGACAAATTTGAATATTCGACCATATCAAATGATAGGATACTGATACTCAATAATGACGTATTTTGGGTTCAGTACAAGTTAAGCTCAATCAGCAGCATTTTGTGTAACTTTGTTTAAAAATACTATCACGTAATTGATGATGATCGTGCATTTCTTCCTTTGTCCTAGTTCTTTTTAAATCTTTTTGGGAAAAAAGTCTGAGATATGACGAATCTGACAGAGTCCTGATAACAATCCTCTTTGGGATAATGATTCTGATATGCATCGTCAATATCGTTTTCTGTAAGTATTTATGTATCGTTCTTAGCCATAACCATGCTGCAAAAGCAAATTATATCGAATTTTTTTCATCAGCTCGGCAGTGTTAATCTAATCGTTTTATTTAAACATTTATTAGAGAAATCTCAGCATTATATATTGTATATTGTCCATTTGATTCTTTATAAACGTGTTACTGTCATTCATTTCGTTGTATCGCCGACACTGAACACAGATTTCAGCTTAAATTTAAACTCTAATTGGCTTAAAGGTCCCCTGAAATGCATAGAAACACGCAGCGTTAAGCCTCGTACACACCGGGACGATTATCGCGCGCGCTTATCGCCGACGTTTTTCGACGCGTCTTTTGTGTTCATACCCAAGCGATTTTCGTTGGCGATGAGCCGAGTGAATGTGCAAATTCACTCCCTGACATTAGATGGCGCTTAATGAAAAACAGAAATACCCCAGTACACATCGAATCCTATTTGATCTGCAATTCCTCTCCATAACAACTCCCTCTTATCGAGATTTTTGTAGTCGCTGTCGCGTTTGTCATAAAGCCCTTTGTGTTCAGACACCAATGAGACCAGCAGCTCTACATTCATCTTGCCTCGATGCATCTTCTTGGTCTACTTACTTCCTCTTCGTCCTTAGGTATCAATGTGTGCTCGGCAAGACCGTTTTGTGCTTAAGCACCACCAAGTCGTGTTTTACTGTAACTTCAGCAGCTCCAGGCACGTAACAAAAGCGCCAATCTCA